AGAAGCAGCTGACTAATGTCACCCTGGCACAGGGTTCTGCCCAAATCCCAGATGTTCTCTTCCAGACCTCTCTGAGACAGGAGCACTGGGTCAGCGGGTCTGCCCAATTTCATGATGTCTTCTACTAGTTCTATGCATGATGCTGAAGCCAACACAGTGTCAGGCTCTGCCCAATTTCAAGATGTCCTCCACCATACCTCTCTACAGGGGTGACTCGGTGATGTCACCAAGCCACAGGTTCTGCACAACTCTAAGGTGTTTTCCACCAGACTCTCTGTGTTATTGATGTCCCCATGTTGGCGGGCTCTGCCCAGTTCCAAGATGTTCTCTGGCCAACCCCAGCAGCTCTGGGACCCAGTCTCCAGTACTCACCAGGGCTCTGTGAATGTCCTCCTTTTGAGTCTACTGGCCACCACGCTGCTCGCCCTCATTGCACTCCCGGCACAACATGGAATTGTCAGAAAACTGCACAGTGCTCGGCTTCAGAGCTCCAGAGCCTTTCACAACCACCTCTGGTGCAGCGGGGCAGTCCTGGCTGCTTCTTGGGGTCCAGGGTCTCAATTTCCAGCAGTCACCAAAAGCCAACACAGCTTTTCTTGTTGGGTCCACAGGTCAGTTCACTGCATTAAAGGCATGGGATTTGCAGCCTCCCGTTATCAACCTTCTCAGTCTCTGCATGACTTTAAATCCTGTAGACATGCTGTCTTGGTTAATAAGAATCATTATCCATTCATCTGGCCCTCTCCATGTTGTCATATTCTAGCATCTAATATGATTTCTCCAGGGAGACTCTCCGCCTGATCCCCTAGCAAGGTGCCATTTTAGGGTCTCTCACAGGAAACAATGTATTTGATATTATGTGCTGTTCTTTTTCCTTTTTCTCTGTAGTAATCAGGTGATGTTTAAACTCTCATCGCTGGATGTAGCTCATACTGCCTTAGTGAATAAATTCTGGAGCTTTGGTGGTAATGAGAGGAGCCAGAGATTCATGGAGTGCTGTATCTGGACCTTCCCGAGCTTCTGTTTGCTGGGGCCTGAGAAGACCCCTGTGACCTGGACCATGATAGACTACACTGGAGAGCCAGGGAAATTATGTAACCTATTTGGTCATAAAAGCACTAAGTTGATTGTAATATAGAGGTTAAATACAAGTTGACTAAGTATTCATGTAAATTTTTATGAAAACATTGATTTGGAGAATTACTGCATGCTTCCTCCTGAGTTTCAGATATGTGGTATATGAAAATGTACACAAATGTGATGAGGGAGCAAAGCTCAGCACAGTTATTCACAGATTATTTTCCTCATAAAATTTTTGTTTTTGGCTGAGCATTAGCATGAGTTGTTCAGAAGTTCCAAACTTCCCCTCCTTGGCCTTTGTGCATGGTGAATGCTGGTAACTCTCCAGTGTGCACCAACTCCCCAGGTCTCTCCCTCCAGGCAGCTACAGCAGAGCAGCCAAGCTGAGTTCTCTGGGTGCCTGTGCAGCTGTGCCTAGAACGCAGTCCCCTGTGTACATGGCAGTACTTGTATATTACCGTTTCCATATGGAGTTTTCAAACTCCACATTGCTTCTTATTTTCATGTAACACTCTGAGATGAGTCTAGAAAAAAAACTATCTCATTAGCCTTCAGACGTGTTAGACTTCTTACTGGAGACTTTCAAACACTTGGACTCTGTTCTTCTGTTATGCTCAGGACTTTATTGCAATGGAGCTTCTGACATAATCCCTGAGGGCCTCACTTCTGGCCTGCATCACCTGGGAGTCAGGATTTCAACCTATGAATTCAGGGAAGACAGATAAGCAGAGAACAGCTTATTTCTTGAATGAATCCGTTAATCTTTGCATTCAGCAAGCAAAAAGACTAAATGGCTGTGTTGATAGAATTACCTCAAACATGACATCATTAAATAGACATGTGACACTTTCTAAATCTGTGTCGACACTAGGACAATATTTGAGAATGAAGCACAAAACTTGAGGTCTTATCAAGACAATTTCTAAAGCTAGAAGACCAATTGTAAGCCATGATTCACAAATTTAAGGTTGAAATACGTATGTGATCTTAGAAAAGAAAAGAAAGTGATTGATTATGCAAGGGTTTCATAACCCAGAGGGAGGAAATGCAGGAAAATCCACTGTGGCAGTAAGGCATTATATGGGAAATAAAAACTAGGCTTTATGGGATACATGGAGGCATGATATAAAGGAAGACACTTCGAGGAGCTAAAGTGCATGTCTCACTAAAGAGATTGTTCAGGGAAATATCATATTCCACAGGCCAAGCACTGTCCAGTATTTTCAAGCAACAAGAGCAATAGGTTGATTGGAATATTGATAATTTAGAACCTATAGAAATGAAAAACGATTGACAGTATTTTGAAAAGTTCAGATTCTATTAGATCAACCCCCACAATCAGTGTTCAAGAAAGATCAAACTAGTGATGTAACAATAGAAGGTTCTTGAACACATAATAAGAGCATTGGGAAGTCAAATGAACCTAGAAGGAGCCATTTGCAGTCAGCACTCTGACATCAAGGAGCCAAGTACACACACACACACACACACACACACACACACACACACACACAGGACCAGGAGCAGTGCAAAACCAAAACTGAGAGGCAGATAGAAGGTAGCAATGAGGTTAACAAGTTAGGTCAAAGGTGGCTTTGCTCTAACAGGGTTTTACACAACCTCAATTTGTGCCTAGTCATCACTCACATCTGACAAGAACAACCTTCTTAACATACACTTCCATATTTATGAATGGGAATGAACAGTTTAGCTCATCAATTATAGAGCAAAGAATGAAGATTTGCAGGTCCATGAGTGGCCGGATCCTGGGTAAGCAAGGAGGACATGTGAGAGTCCTGTCTCTGTTGGAGAAGGACGGATCCTTGCAGCAAGGTGTTTCCAGAACAGGATGGGGCAGGAAGGCTTTTTGATCATTCCTATCTTACCGACTCACAGGAGCAAGCAAATTTCAATGCTGTGTGTTCCTCTGAGAACTGCATCTGCTGAATTCCACATTGGTCTTTACCTTTTGAGAATAAGCTCTGTGAATCTTCTGAAATTCTTATTCAAGGGTATTGTTAAGAATTTCATCCAGTATACCACTGACACCTGAGTGTGGCTGCATAGAAAACCCCTGTCTACAGAAGTGTGTGAGTTCCTGGGAAACATTTGTGACTTGCATGCATTACTGTGAAAATGTGGAATAGCACATTCACTTTGGAGGAGTGGAAGGCAGTTCCTTATTATGTTACACATTCAGTTACCACCCAGCTTTGGAAATATTCTCAGTGGTAAATAAAGTCATACATGCACACATATATTAGTGCATTAATCTTTATAATAAATTATTTATAATTGTCCAAAATTACAGTCAATGAAGTGTCCTCCAACACATTAATACGTAAAAATATGACCCATCAACAATGCCTATAATGCAATGTTATTCAACAATAAAAAGTTGAAAACTTCAGTGACTGAGATCTCGTAAATAAAAGATGTTAATCTGAAAAGGCTACATAATAAATAATGTGATATTTTTGACATTTTGTCAAAGGAAAATTGTAGAATCAAAAACAAATTAATGATTACCCTGGGCTCAGAGTCAGGGGAAGAGAAAGGGTGGTTGATGGGGAAAATTCAGAAAAGGACTTTTGGGCTTTGTTGGAAAGGGCGGGCTTCACTGTTAGGATACTGGTTCTGCTGTATGTACAGGTATCAATCTGCATGAGACCATGGACATTAAATTGTGAATTTTACTGAGCCTGAATTATGCCTCAAACAAGGATTACAACATTAACAGAAATCTATATAACTATTTCTGTTACAGATTTCTAAGCCTTATATGTTGATAAGACCTTTTAAATAAAAAGAAATAGTGACTTCCCTTAAAAATAATACAGTATATGTGTGTCGTTAGAACATAAATGTAAATTGTGTGCATGGTTAACTAATAATCAATTTTTTTGTGATTTTCTTTTTTTCTTTCAAATTTGGATTATACCACAGAAACAATATGCCTTCTATGTAAAGACTCAGAGGAAAAGTTTTATACATATCTTCTGTCTTTTGTCTCTAATATCAAGACTATTAGCAATAACAGTTCAGCTGTTTGGCACAAACTGGGTATTGCAGAAGCCAGGCATGTTGCTTGTCCCCTTAAAGCCAGCCATCTGAAGTGCTATGTGCCTATTTACATGGGTCACCTGCATTTAGGGTTTTCCAGTTCATCTGAAATTAACCAGTGGTTTGTTAATCAGAAAAACCCATTAAGTACACTCCTTTAGATAACAGTGTGGGCTGACTTTTGCTTGTATGGAAGACAAATGGGAACTGTAACCATTGATTTCTTCTCCTGCACTGTATGTGTGGATGGAGCTATCACACTCTACCCTATTGATACATGCAAATAAAATGGTTAATGATGAAAGGAAGACCAGTAGTCATCCTAACCATGAGGACTTGCTCTTTCCAGATGCTCAGCCTTACATTCACTGACTTATTGTCTTGTTTCATTCTGTGAACTAAGTGAGCATTTACTGCCTTTGTTAGATGAGGAACCAAAGCATCAGAGAGTTGAGTGTCATGCTGGGGATCCTAGAGTGGCTGAGCTGCTTGGATATGAATGGAAACTGTAACAATGGTCATCATTCTCCGAGAATAGACTCATTAATCCTGGGGCAACTTTTTGTGTTGCAAAGCTGTGTGTTAAAAAAAGGTGAAAAGAAAAATTACATACATATGTTTGAAGGTGAAGAAAGATGTTGCGGATGAGAGACAGAGACCTCTGCCCTGCCCCTGCCTCATCTTTCTTACAGTAAGAAGTTCAGTGAGTGGACCATTCGCGAAAGAGCAGGACTACAGCCCAGACAGTTAACCAGAACTGTTTATTGCATTTGCATCACTTCTCACTCTTCTAGTTCTTTGATGTTTCTCAATTGTCTCTTTAGGTTAAGTTACCAAACAGGATGTTCCATTTGCAAAATTCATGGATGCTACAGATGCTAGAGAAATACCTAGTGGAGCACATGCCTGAATCCATAAAGGTACGAGTGGAACATGCACAAGACAAAAAATAAAGGACCTTCAGCTGCCAATAAAAGAGGTGGAGAAGAAAGCATTTAGCAACCTGTGTGGTAGGTGCTCTGCATGTAGCATCTCTTTTAAATCATGTTGCCTTAATGCAAGAAATGTGTATCATACCCATCAATTCTATAACCTGACAAAGACCATTGCCAATGTGCTGATTCAAATCTTGTCTGAGCTTTGGGAGGTAATGGCTCAAAACATTTCCTGCTACTTATCAGAAAACTGTATTATATAAATCTGGAGGTTTTCCAGAGTTGAAACTTTGACTAAAAGTATCGTATTCATGTTTAATTGCTTTTCTTAAACATCCATTTATCTGTTCCTTCTTGATGAAAAGAACAAATCAGTTTGTGTTTTATCCAGTCTGCAATGAATAGTTTAAATTTGAGTGAGCAAGAAATGTCTTTAGAATGAGACCAATACTCCTGTACTCAGAGGCATGTCCTCAACCAGCCCCAGTGCCTGAAAATACAGGAAATAAAATCTCTTAGAGCTGAAATGAAAAAAAAAAAATAGAATGTAGAACATAGCCCGTATAATTCTTCTTACTGTATTTTATGGAATAGACAGAAAATATGCGTGTACTTAGAAGTCCTAAAGAAAGTTAGGAAACAATTTAAACTGAGTTTTCCAAAATACCTGCTTTATAACATCAGAATACTTATGCTGTTCAGGTGCTTAAGACATATTTTTCCCTGGATGAAGTACATATTTTTAACATTTTAAAATGATTATAATCATGTTAAGTATGTTATTCAATAATAATGGAATTAAAATTTAAAACTTTTCTGGAAGTTCCTAAATTTCTGCAAATGATATAAACACACTTCTAAATATATCATCCTTCACTGTCACAAGGAAAATTAGAGTATTTTACTTGAATATAAATGAGAGTGCAGCATAGTGTAATTTATGAGACGCAAGAACATCATTGACAAATAGAAAAAGCATGGCATTAGTTGCTATTGTAAAAAAGCAAGGATGGTGTCATCTAACAAGACTTAGACTTCCAACCCAAAATCTAAAAAATTAATACAAACTAACTGCTTTAGTGTGTGGAATGAAGGAAACAGGTGAATGGGATCAAGGAAACACTGGACGAGGAGAAAGAGGAGAGGAAGAACTCAATGAGAAAACAGTAAAATAATAGCTAAATTCCATGCATCATCTGTGCATCTGAAACTGGATTCTCAGAAAAGTTCAATAATGTTGAAAACTCTATGACCAAAGTTACCAAGAAATGGAGAGAATAGTCATAATTTATTAAGAATGAAACAGCAGACATCACTATTAGCTCAATGGAGATTATAAACCTTTAAAGATGTTTTTAACAACACCATACTTATACTTTTCAAATTTATTCTGTAAAAAATATGAAAGTTGAAAAGTCACTGAAAAAGAATTTACAATATAAATCTTCCTATTTCTGGAATTTAAAATACTCTGAGAGGAAAATTGCTCATCTGGATGGTTTCATGACCAATTTCCACCACATGGATGAAGAAGAAGTAATGTCAGGGCACACAAAGCATTCCAGAAGAGGGCAAAGGAGTTAATGTTGACCAGCTCATTCTACGATATTAGAATTACCCTGATAGCAAAACTGGAAATATACAGTGCAAAAACTACAGAGTATGTCTGTCTGTGAACACAGATGCAAAAATAGTAACAAGATAACATGAGGTCAAAAACACTATTTAGAAAAACTAGTGTATCATAAAAAACTGGAAATTATCTTAAGAATTCAAGATTCAACATTCAAACATCAATAATATCACTTTCTAAATGAGCAAACTAAAGGACAAAATCAAGATGATCTTCTCTTGACAGTTATAGAATGATTATTTCACCAAATTTGATGTTCTGAATAAACATAAAACCACTGCAGTCTAGGGAAAAAAAGGATTATCCTTAAGCTGATAGAAAGAAGAGGAATAACATTTTCAGTTGTATTTTACTAAATAGTGAAAAGGGTTTCTCTACGATGGACATTAAGGCAAGAATACCCACCTTCAATACTTATGTTCACAGTAACACTGGTTGGTCTAGCCTATATACAAGGCAAGAAATGAATATATAGCAGGCAAAAAGAAGCAAAAGAGGTTTTTTTCCCCACAGACATTATGGTTATCTAATGTAGAAAAATCATATGAAAAATACAAAAAGAGCTTTAGATAGTAATAAGTTCAGCAAGGTGACAGGATTCAAATTAATGTATGAAATAACAAAAATCAATTCTATTGTTATGAACTATCAATGCTCAACTGAGCATGAAACTTAAAAAGCAGTACCATTTACACCTAAGGAAAACAAAAACTAAAGGACAAACAAACCTTTAGTAGTACAACTTTGTTAGTCTCCATTTTTTCTAATGACTCAAGTACCTGGACTTCTCTGGACAGCAGGAAGTTGATGTGTTTAGTACAGCTCTGACATCAGTCTCTGCAAAAGCAACTCTGGAAAGAAAGGCAGAATATTCTACCTTGTGTTAACTTTTGCTACTGATTATGTGCTTTGTTTAAAGGTCATTTATGGATAAAGCCACATGAGCTTTAGGTAACTCCAAACCACAGGTCAACAGCAGGTAACACAGTGCAGCTCTTGAGTGGGCTGTCCTGAAGTAGACGTCTTTGACATAACAAATTCATTGTTTTCCGAGAAACACTGCAAAATTTTGAGCTCAGTCGCAGCATTTTCTTGTAAAATTGGTAAAAGCAGAAAGTCAACAAGGTAGATATTTCCATTCAGTAGTTATTAAATCTCTGGTAAGAGAAAGATTTATGTTTTGTGGCCTGAAGCATTGGGTGTTGTGTCTGCAAAGAGTAAATACTGTATAGGCTTTTATCACACATAAAATCTCATTCAGTCAGGTTGCAGCAACAGAGAGAAAGAGATAGAGAGAGAGACAGAGACAGAGATACAGAGAGAAAGAGCGACAGAGAAACAGAGACATACAGAGAGAAAAAAGAGACAAAGAGACAGAGAGTGAGACAGAGAGGCAAAACAGATTTCAGTTTTATTTTTAAATTGGGTATCTAAAAATCACCCGTTCCAAATTCTAATGTTTAGAAAAGTAATCGTTTTTTTCCACAAAACTGGTTTCAGTTGCCATATCAAGGTTCCCCAAGTGACAGAGTATTTAATGTGGTGAAGTGAAAATTTTGCTTCCCTTTTTTCTTAGTCTAACTTGAACTATTGCAAGAGAGGGACAGGGAACTTCAGGATCAGGCTGTGCCTTAGTTGGTGAAATGGTTTTTGCTCCATCGCCCTTTCTCCTGTGGCATCTTCTGGCTTCATCTGCTGAGGGACCATGCTCTCCACTTTACCGTGCTACCGTGCACACTGAGTGTGCTTTTACTCACAGCTCGAGCACTTCTAACATTAGCAAATATTCCTCAACTTATTCAGCGTTCTTCACATCTTTGGTGTTTGAAGACCTGATTCTAGACAGGAATGTAGAACACTAAAATGCATGATGCTTCAGGAGTTTGGTCACCAGAACCCAGGATTATACCATTATGATCTGTTTCTTATTAAGTAGGAGAGAGGCCATGTCAAATTTCTGGAAAGTAATGTGTAAATATTTAGAAGATAAAGAGACTTCTAAACATGTGATATCTGGTCTTCAAAGTTTTCTTCTAAAATTTGTAATAACAGTTATATTTTCAAAGACCTAAGGACAAAATTTCGCTTCAGGTATGGGAAAAAAATATCTGAAAAAAGAAAAAAAAGCTTCAATATGATGTAAAATATTTGAAGTTACAGGGAAGCTCGACGTGGAAGCAGAAGCCTCCCACAGAGATCCCTACAGAACTGTGTAGCCACAGGACTCTGCCTGGAACCTGGTAGGACCCTGCCCAGTATCCTTGAACACTGCAGTAACTTTGGGTCTTCATCTGGGTCCTGGTTAGGCCTCACCAGGCATCTTACAGATAGCTCAGAGCTATTTCCTATGAGCTGAAGATGTTCATAGCAATATCTACCTAGCTGTGCAGTGGTGAGTCTATGCTTGGAACCTGGTGGCACCACACACAGGTCAACTAAGAAGCTGGCGAGCTTTTGTGTGTCATGTAGCATGACCTAAAACCCTTCCCAGTATATTCCACATACCATTCACCTTGCTACACCTCTCAGAACATGACAGGGCTCTACCCAGTGACCTCAAGCACGTGGGGTAATTCTGTGAGCCATTTGGGGCATGCTGAAGATCCACCCAGTGTGCACACCCCTCCAGCATGCTTCAAAGTGCCATTAGGGACCTGGAGAATACAGGAAAATAACATAATGAAAGAACACAATGCAACCTCAAACATTTTGCCCATCACAGACAAGCCTAGGAGACATGAACGTACTATAAAATGTAGATCATACACTTGAAACTTGTGAAATGATAGTAACTGGAGTAAAGAACCAACTCTAAGAAGCTATAGAGGACCTCAGATCAGAAATAATCTACCAGGTAAAAGATGAAATGATAAATGTAATGAAAGAAATGTTGAACACATGTAAAGAAGATTAGTTAAAAAATCTAGGAGCACTGAAAAAAAATGGAAACCTTGCCTGAACACCATAAGAAAACAATAGAATACATGAAACAGATTCAAGAAATTCAGGAAATAAAATATACCAAAAAAGCTGGCAAAACCACATTAATGAACGTGGTCTCCAGACCTTAAAGACAAGATTGCAGATAATGAACAATAAAGAATAGGTCATTTCAAAATAACAAGGTACTAGGAAATAACAATACAACACTTACCAGATGATGTAAGGAAAAATAATACAAGATTGATAGGTGTGACTGAAAAAGTAAGTGATGACACAAATGAGAGCAAAAGGCTATTTCCAGAAAGAATAGCAGAAATGTGGGAAAGGAAACCAACACACAGATAAATGAAGCATATAGAACTCCAAATAGCCATAACCAAAATAAATCTACATCCAGATATGCAATAGT